GTGTCTAACTGTCGAAACTCGTGAAGAGATGGCCCTCAACACCAGGTTCTGTGACAGGTCGATCGTAGTTTCATATTACTTTTGTCTATCCGGGAACATGAATCGACATGTGAGATTCACTAACGTCGAAGATTATGTTTAACGTTTAACAATAACAAATAGTTGACATAACATACGATTCGAGACCGCTAACATAACATGGAAGCGCGCACAATTCATTAAATTATAAAAGGGTACAGGACACTACGACTAATCAAAGAAGAGACAAGGATCAATTCGTTGGATGGGCCGAACTGGGTGGATCAGTAGATGGAAGAAGTGGTGGATGAGTAGATGGAATAAGTTGGTGGGTATGAGTAGATGGTGAAAGAAGTGGTGGGATAGATGGAGAAGGTGGTCGATGGGTAGGATGAAAGTGTGGATGAGAGATGCAAACATGGTTGGATGAGTAAGATGGAAGAAAGTGTGGTGGAATGAGTAGATCGAAATGGTGGTATGACGCAGATGCGAAGAGAGTGGTGGATGAGTAAATAGAACGTGGGCCGATGAGTGGAAGTTGTGGGCGAAATAGCAGCACTCGTCAATGTCATTCATGTAAAAACAACTTGTCCTACGTAGTTGATAATTACCTCAACATTGCGGAAAACAACGTCAACTTTCTTCATTAACACATTAATAAACATGACTAAATTCCCCAGACGATTACATAATAAAATTAAAAAGTATTGTTTACGATGGTATGAAAGTCTACGGGGTGGCACCGATTTAGGCAGGCTGGCAAGGTCCGACGTTCGATGCGCACCGACCCTCTGCACACCCTGTAGTCCGTCGGACCGTTCACGGTCAGAAGCGTGCATGTCATCAGCTCCTAAAACAGTAAGTTAAAACATATTAACAAAACCACAGGTAAAACCAACATAGGAACATTTTACACAAACGTACACGGTAAAAAAAATCGTCCGCGGGAGCACGTGTCTATGGGGGAGACACCCCGGTTCGGCTCGATCAATTTGCTACTCCTCTTAAATGACTTTATGTGAAGTAAAGAAACGTAAGGTAAAGAAATCTATTGACAGTACTTCGTCACAAACTTTGTACCTAAACAAAAATTTGCGTAACGCGTTCTCGCGGTAGCCAATCAGTGGTGAGGATCTCAGGCTGCCGTCACTGACGTTGAATCAGAAAACAAAAACATCAGCCGTTAGCCGTTAGCACACAGAGCTCACAGCTCCACATATCTGTTCAGAAACTGGACAAAAGTTAAACATGAACAAACCACAGACTGTCTGTGTCATGGCGAATTGTATACATATCTGTAAATTGTATAATTGTATTTTTCGTATTTGGGATTTCTCTTTTGTCCACTCAAATACACAAATACACAATACAATGCTTTTCTCATCTGGCTCCCTGTCTGCTCGTCTACAATGAGAAAATTATATAATTGATTACTAATAATCATTTAAACCTGTTATTACCAATATCTCACAAATTCTTCATGTAAGCTTAAGAGCACAGCTGTATGTTGAGTATGTCAACTTTGCTTGGTTCATCTTACTGGGGGGCAGCTACATGGATGTCGGTGCAGTCCACAATAATTTTGCAGTTGAAGGCAGAATGAATTTATTATTGACTCAGAATGAAGCACAACTTCATGTCATACAATACATTGACTTTATTTGTAATTGTGTAAAAAGATATGAGCATTGATTAGCAAGCNTCTCTACGGACTGTTTTTCAGTGGGTTAGTGGAGTTAGTAGTTTTCAGTTCCCTGGACTGATTAACAGCTAAGCTCCCTTTCTCTTTTGTCCACTCAAATACACTTGGCCCTTTCTCTTTTCCATGTGGAAAATGGCAACTGCATATTCTGCTTTTCTCATCTGGCTCCCTGTCTGCTCGTCTACAATGAGAAAATTATATAATTAATTACTAATAATCATTGAAACCTGTTATTACTAATATTTCACAAATTCTTCATGTAAACTTAAGAGCACAGCTGTATGTTGAGTGTCAACTTTGCTTGGTTCATCTTACTGGGGGGCAGCTACATGGATGTCGGTGCAGTCCACAATAATTTTGCAGTTGAAGGCAGAATGAATGTATTATTGACTCAGAATGAAGCACAACTTCATGTCATACAATACATTGACTTTATTTGTAATTGTGTAAAAATATATGAGCATTGATTAGCAAGCAGGACCTGCAGGAACAGAGAATGGTGATGGATGGAGCTGGGAAGAGAGAAGAATAAAGAAAACAGATCAACTTTATTATCGGATATTAAAAATTCAATTTCAAAATTGATTTTTTATGTTTTGGATGAAATAATATGACTGGTATAGGTGCGAAAATAAAAAAATAAAAATGGATAAAATATTTTTTAATATTTATAATTCTGCAAATATTACGATGAACTCACAGCTATTTCGCGGCCCGGCAGTAACACCTCCGCGGCCCGGTACCGGTCCGCGGACCGGGGGGTGGGAACCCCTGCTCTATGGCACCTAACTAGACAACATGAATAAGAACAAGGCTGCAAAAAAGAAAGAAATGCATTTGATTTTTCATTATAAAATGACATGAGTGAATCTTGGACTAAATTGAATGTACAACGTTGATCAAATATTTGTGTTTTATTGCAATTGTTGTTAGTTAGTGCAAAAATATAAGTATATCAGTTAGTTAGGTTATATAAAAGTATGAAATTAAATGTTAGGGAAACTTCCATCCTACATCTGCTACCTGATCTCACGGCGAATTGTAAGTGGCTACTGCCTGATATCGAATGCTGTGGTTTTATTAAATGTGCCAACTGCTAGGACTGTCTTAGAGAAGATAGCTTTTCGATGCGCAGCTCCTCTGTCTTGGAACAGTCTGCAAAAGGAATGGAAGCTGAGCAATTTGGTTCCACTAAATGTTTTTAAAGCAAGGATAGATGCTATCCAATCGGAAACTGTTGGAACCTGTAAATGTCACTAGCTATGTAAACTGTAGTCGCTGTAAATATGCTGTATGATGTCCGTTCAGTTTTTCTGTTATGTTTATATGTGTTCATGTGGAACCTACTTGCAGCAGGTCACCCTTGAAAAAGAGATCAATGATCTCAATGGGATTCACCTGCATAAATAAAAGTTTGAAATGAAGTATTTATCAGACAAATTGTTGTATTTTTTTGCTTGCTTTCACTTTATAATGTTATTTTTATTTAAATGTTGTTGCTGAATTTGGTTAAAACTGCTCATAGAATATGCAAAATCTTTATCTACAAGTCAAAAGATCTCAATTCGGAAAGTAAGTGCAACTGTAAGACATAATACTATAGAAACACAGTACAATATCTACCTGAAATGTATAGTATAAGTACTATGTGCTGCCAGCAGATGGCAGTGTTGTTGTGTACTCTTCTTTACAGGGTAAAGAAAACAAGGGAATACCATCAATTGTTTTGGAAATTGCAACATTTTTAAATACTTTGCCAAATATAAAAAGTCCTGCCCTTGCAATTATACTTTAGTGAAGTAATAAAGAGTGAAATCAGCTAAGTTAACTTAAAGTATTAGTATCACAAGTTCATTTGTCTGTCCAAAGTCCAACAGCAGCGACCCACCCTGGAGCACCGACAGCGCCATGGCTTCAACAATGCAACCTTTTACCCAGAAACCCAAAGTGAGAGCATAAGATCTATTGAAATCAGAAAAAGTTATTATTATTATTATTGTTATTATTATTGGCGCAATGAATCACATTTCTTAGGGCCTTAACCTGCTGCCAAAGTTGACCTTATTTTGCAGGATTGTCAGGTCTGGTGAAGGCTTTGATATTTGAAGTTATCTCGTTATCTGTGTAGGCAAAAAGGCTCTATAGCCAGGAGGTAAGATTGTTAGCGTTTTATTAAAGGCATCACTTAATAAAACCCCAGATTGGCACTCGTGGGAAACTGTAAGCACAGGCGCATTAGTGAACTAGCAAGTATAAGGCATTTTAGAAGTGATTTAGACAAAGACATAATGTTAATATTGAATAGGACTTATAAGCAAAGACAAAAGATGTTACTCTTCGGTGTCAAATCCCAAATTTACAACCAATGTTTAGGCCTCTGGGTTAGGCCTACACACTCTAGCCTATGGGTGAGTTACAGTGATATTAAAGGTGTATTTATGGTTTATTTTAAATAAATACAGTTTGAATAAAAAAATTGTATCGAACAATTTGACATTTTTCCTCTTTTTTTTATTCTGGAGGATCTCGTGCAGATATGCCACATTTTTATAAATTATAAACCGGGTATTTAATAGAAAGATGAATTCAGTTGATGCTCAAAACCCTGCTTTGATCGTTTTCTGATAAACATTGTTTGTCTAACCCTAACCATAACCCTTAGCGTCAAGTACATTCAACATACAAAAAAAGCGACATTTGAAAAAACAAAAACGATAGATTACTTCACGCGAAAAAAAATGGCATCACAGCGGAAAATGTGACACTGCTTTTGAGATAATAAAATACTATAAATTCATAATCAGGTGACGAATAGGAAAGCGGTGTTTCCTTTAAGCTGTAAAAGGAAACAGCAGCGTCACCAGCAGTGAATCAGCCTGCAGACATAACCCCGCAAATAGGTTAATCCTCATGTTGTTACCTGCAGGGATTAACTTGTAAAAGCTTGTATGCGGACAACGACTAATGTGACAAGTCCTGTAAGAGTTCAGTTTAAGAGCAAGCATTTAGTAATGTAAAGAAGACGTAAAAACAGTGAATCAGCAGGAGAAGATATTCCAGAAAGAGTGAGGAGGAGCGGCCGAACAATCCTAATCCAGAATGATCCAGTGAGTCAGATTTAGTCCAGATTAACGCAGCGACTCACGGTCTGAGAGGCAAAGTGAATACAAACACAGACGGATGCATTTAAAACAAGCTGCTGCATATTTGAACGTGTAAAACTCAGATTTTTCCTTTGTTTCTGTAACTGGACTACCATTATTTTTAACTGGGACATCACATGGCTCTGCTGAGGTCAGGCTGGCTTTGGAGACAGAGTGAGTATTTGTGTTGTTGTTGTTCTAATATACAGTATACCCTTAATAGTCCGACAGAGGGGACATTTAAATTCTGCATTTGACCTAGTGTTAGAAGCAGTGGGCGGCCATTATGTTATTCATTTGAATCTGTAATTAATGTTGTGTTTTATATATTTGAAGTGTGTTGTTTTTATTAATTTTTACTCTGTAAAGTGTCTTTGAGTTTCAAGAAAAGCACTCAATAAATGATTATTATGTGTGGCGCCCGGGGAACACATGATACATCCAGGATGCTTGTTTTGTTATATGTCATTAAGGGGAAGTAAGAATTGATTGTTATGATAAAAAGCACAATTCCAATTTCTCAAATGTGTGGATTATTAGTTTTTTCTTATAATTGAAAATGGTTCTTCAGGAAGCTGAACATGAGATCATTTGTCCATTATGTTTGACAACAACATCCTGGGTGTAACAACAACATTACCAATAAATCAAGATGCTTTTTTGGCTCTTCTCTTTGACTCGTTCCCAATAAAAGCCTGTACTGAAGTTAAGGTTTAACGCTGTTTAAGAAGAAAGAAACAATAACAAATATCTGACCCCAGCTCCCCCTCTTTTTCTTTCCCTCGGATATCGTGAATCTTACATTGCTATTTTTTTGTAAATCGTGCTCTCCTACTGACGCTCCACTGTGTCTCCTCCAGCTTCTGTCCTGAAACGCTGGAAGTTGAACTGGTGCGACCTTTGGATCGATGGGAATCTTTGCTTCTATAAGAACGAGAGCAGGAGAGACCTGGAGCACCGAGTCAGCCTCAAGACAAGGTGTGTGGACGTGAGGTCAGGCCTGGAGTGTGGAGGTAAGACATGCTAACCCATACACAGTGGTGCAGTGATGACGTATCTTTGTAGACTGTAGTAGACAGATAGTATCTTTCTGGTTCCCTCCACAACACGGAAATGGGATATTTATTTCCTTTGGATTTAGGATTAGGCCTATTGCAGAAAATAATCAACGTTTATGATACTTAGACGTTTTGTTCAGCAGGATTATCTCCACATATTAACACCACTTTATGATTTCTGAAGTAAAAAGCTAATGTTGGGCTATAAAGGAACTACAGCACGGTCACATGACTTCACGTCACCACCGCTAAGCTAAAGGTGGCTAATGTTGGGCTATAAAGGAACTGTAGTTTCTTTATAGCCCAACACAGAAAATGGAGCTCTCGAAAACCTTTCCAAACAAACAAGAGAAACTATTGAAAAACATCTGGGACTTATCTCAATTGCACTTTTGAAACCACAGTTTGATTGACATCCCATTTTCTGCAAGTATGAAAAAAGGTTCTCATAATAATTGCACAAACAGTGTTTACTAAAAGATAAGTATGTCGTGTATATAATGCATACAATTAGTATTTAGTATGGAACTGGGACACAGCTTTTGTTTGATGATTGCTCTGCAGGAGCGCTTAGCAGCGAGGCAGTCTGAGATTCATTTATAGGAACAGATTCTTCAGAACAAGACAGAACGTCACTATTCGTCTTCAAGCAAGAATAACAACGAAAAACTTAAAGGGGCCCTATTCTGCTTTATGGTGTCTTCCCTCTCCTGTAGTGTGTTGTATAGGTTTTAGTGCATGTAAATGGTCTGCAAAGGATAAAGTCCCTGTGTTCCCTCCAGAGGGATTTTCTCTCCAACACTAACCTTTGTTTACTTCCTTAACATAATGACATCACTATGGAACACTCGCTCTCCTATTGGCTAGGGCTTCAACACCTTGTTCGTAGATAGATAGTTAGATCGATGGATAGAGAGATAGATAGAGAGAGATAGATGGATGGATGGATGGATGGATAGACAGACAGACAGATAGATACTTTATTGATCCCAATTTGGGAAATTCTTTATTTGGGCTAAGGGGCGGGACATCTCTAGGCGGTTAACCAATCACAACAGAGCCGGCCAGCTAACCAAGACAGAGGGTGTTCATTCTTAAACCGTACTAATATTATTCACTCAATTGAGTCAGTCCAGTCCTTCATTATCATTCCAGGTACAGATATAAAGGTTTACTCTAACCCTTTAATCATTGAGACAGAACTATATATGTATGAAAAGGTCCTACAAGGTTTCACTTTTTATTAAGCAACTCTCAAAATGTTTTGAGTGATTTAACACTGATGACAACTTGCATATTTTATAGTGAACTGCTCCTTTTTATAATGTGTGTTCTCTCTGCAGGAGTGTCTCCTCCAGAGAGTAATCCCAGGGAGAACCTGATCGTGGTTCAGCTCTCTAACGGCTCCACAGTCAACCTGTGTGCTAACAGTGAGGATGAATCCCTGTAGGTTTCTTCACTTCTCTCATGTCATTATTCACTCTAGCTTTCAAACTAGCTTTCAAACTCTGATCAACAATTAGGGCTACAGTCTATGGGTGTTTCTCAATGTCGAGGAAGTGTCCTCCAAAGCCACTATTTCAAGCATACTACGTCATCGAGTGCCGCCGAAGGACTGTTCCAATGTCCAGCATACTTCCGGCGTACTTCGTTTGGAGACATTTCGAGGCTGCGCATGTGTAGACTCCGCGGTCTTAAAATCCCCACAATGCTTTGCGCACGGACCAATTTCCCCAAATCTGTGGCGGAAAATGTAGGGCGGGGCCTCTCATACGACGCACACCNTTCTACAACCAGGTGGAAGAGAGCTCTCTCCTGAGAGGCTCAAATAACCTTTAATAATTATAATGATCATATCAAGGTGTGCCTTAACCTCACTGAGCTGAGGTTATTTGAGCCTCTCAGGAGAGAGCTCTCTTCCACCTGGTTGTAGAAAAGCTCTTTAAATTCGTTAGCATAGCTAGCTAACCAGATGCTAATAACAACAGATCGCCACTGTGCTTACAACTAAAGACACAGCCACGCAAACACTGCGGCATGTGTACAGCTCCTTATGGGTACTGCAATATTTGAAGAGCTGGAGCGGCGTTCCGGTGCCCTCCGTAAGCACTCAAGTCTAGTCTACACTCCTTTCAGACGAGACATAACCACGTGAAGACACGTTACGCTCGTGTTATGTTCAAGGAACCTGTCCTTGGCCAGGAAAAACAGGCACTCGCTTGTTTAATTATTTTGCGATCTAGATTTCTTCTTCTTTTTTGAAGTGAGAAGTTGTCCGTCAGTCGGACGGACTAACGGACGGACTAACGGACGAACTGACGGACCCCCACACCCCCCCAAAACGAAAACTCTTCGGTTCTCCACGAATTACACAAGTCACCCAAAGCAGCGTTAAAAAAGCGGGAGGCGCCGAAAAGCGACTAATTTGCATCACTGCAAGATGTAAACAAATGTTATTAGAAAGAAGTTTAAAGTGTGAATATTGAAAGTATTAATATTGATATAGTCAAGAAGTGTAAGCAGCATCCAAATTCTAGCTAAGGAAGAAATGGGTAGTCTACGGATTGCCAGTCCTGGAGATGAGGTCCACTTATCTCATTCCTCTGAAGACCTATTTTGTTCTCTTATTTAACCTGCGACAAAACATTGTTAGGTGCAGAGCTTAAAACTGGGAAAAAGTGTGCTCTGATTTGTGTTTCATGGATTTGCATAGAGAGAAATTAGAACATATTAACATGAAGTACGGCAAGTTTGAAACAGGTGTGGTCCTTTCTGACAAGGCCGTACCAGTCACTGCCTGTGTTCAGCCTGGGACTGGGAGATCTCTCCCTCACATGCACACACATCCAAATTCCCATGAGGCACAGTGACAGAGTTGCCATGGTTACGGGGCTGAAGTGCCCCAGACACCAGGAGCTGAGGGGAAGTGGGGTGGCTGGAGGTATCATGTGATCATCTGGCTCTGTGAGCCCTTCACTAAATCAGGAAAAAATGCCATCCAGGATCAGAGTGAATTTTCTTCTTTTTAGTACTCTGGTTGTTTTACTGCCTTTCATTTAAATAAATACAGTATGAGCTCTTGCATATGATTTAAGGTTTTAACCTAGGCACTATGTTTCAAGAAGACCACTGTTCTCCCTAGCAAACTCAACATGTCAGTTTTTTCAAAATTCCTACAATTTTGCCTTTATGCTTCCGGCACCAATTTGTAAGCGCTGCGGAAGATGGCTTTAACAATGTCATCATTAAGACTTTCTTAGATTGTCTCAGAAGAACAAACCTCCTGAGCTTTTCCCCATCAATTTGCAATGCAGTAAAAGAGGCCACACACTCTTCGGCCAATGTAATGTAGCAGCGATGCGTTCCGATGCACTGGAGCATGAGTCTACATCAGACTCTCCAAAAGATGGAACAAGTGCAATGTGTTTTCTGAATCCATTTTGTCCTGGCACTGAGATGATAAGAGTTTTCTTGCACAACTACAGTTGCAAAAAATGTTTTACATTAGCGTGTTAGAACCTTCAGAACAAAAACATCCACAATCCACAATGTTTTCCCTTTGACCGCTCATGTGAACATCGAGTCCCCATACAGAATGCAGAGAAATGGTCATGGCATCCATGTGACGGGCCTCTGAAGGTATCCCTTCAGTAAATCACCGGGGTGTAAGGAGTTTTTTTGTCCACTTGTTTAATGACACACTAACTGTTGCAACAACTAAATACTGTAACTCTAGCAATGGGCATGGACCCAGGTCAGCACAAACTCAGATTATTTGGGATTTTGTTCTATATTAACATGAACAGACACTTTTTCCCATATTTATAATGCCTCAATTCACTGAGCTTTAATGTACTTCAACGCTGATGTTGGTATCAGAGCTGTATCCTGTTTGTTCCATTTTTGGGAAGTTATATTAGCTGCTTTTAAGGTAGATTTCACTAACTATATGCAATATTTTCTTGCAAAAATTAGGAATAAATCACTGTGTAGAAGAAAAAAAAAAACACTTTTTTCTCACAGACCCCAAGAGAGCTCCTAGGCAGCTGAGGGGGGGCTGGCCCCATGCTAGCTGGCATAGTTGACAAGGCATACCGCACCCCTACAGTACCCAGGGAGAGAGTACAAAGGACTCATTGTGTTTGTGTGTGTGTGCATGTGTGCTGCACTCAAGGCCTTGTTATACTGCCTGCAGTATTGTTGGGCTGTTTGCAGTCTTCCTGCCAGCCTGCGAGCACACAGATCCGTCTCTCAGACAATGTGCGTCACAATGTTCAAGTTACAATTGAGGTGTTTAGCTGATGCTCTTATCTACTGCAATTTACAACTCCATTCAAATCATTGGGCGTAGTAATGCAGCCTGGGGCAAAACACAATGTGGAAGGTGGAAGACTAGCGGATTTTAAGAAGGAAAATCGTGTTGTTTGTTTATTCTACACACTTGCCTGTCCATTTATAGCAGAGAGTGGTGCAGGAATGAGTCTTAAACCGAGGAATTGAGTTAGCATTTTAGCACTTGCGGGTCCCCTCGTCTTAAATTTTAGTTTAAGACGAGGGATGCCAAAATTAAGGTCTGTGGTTAATACAAGCTTAGAAGATTTCCCCTTTTTGTTCTACAACATAAACAATTTCAGTTAACACCCCACTGGTGGATGTATGAAGCTTCTACTTCAGTTGCTAACAATTAGCTAAATAAGACGACTATGGCCGTTTCTCAATCGCGAGGATGCTTGCTTGGTAGCACATGTCTTCCGAGTCACTTCCTTCAGAAGCTAGGCAAGAATCCTTCCTGGCATTCGGAAAACGAAGAGTGGAACAGGCTAGCAAGTGTGCAGGTGTGCGTCATATGAGAGGCCCGCCTTACATTTTCCGCCACAGATTTGGGGAAATTGGTCTGTGCGCAAAGCATTGTGGGGATTTGAAGGACGCAAAGTCTACCCATGTGCAGCCTCGAAATTACCCCCAAACCAAGGAAGCGGCCTCTGTGGAATTCCAAGTATGCTGGAGATTGGAACATTCCTTCGGCGTCACTCGATGACGTAGCATCCTTGAAATATTGGCTTGGAAGCCAGTTTCCTCGCAGTTTCTTCACGCTGAACTGTGGCCGCCTTTAGCTTAGCAGTGGTGAAGTGAAGTTGCTCATTAATAGCCCAACTATTAGCCTATTGTAAAAGAAGTGTTAATATGTGGAGATTATCATGCTGAAAAAAAACGTGTCAGTATCATAAATGTGTGACTGCCACGATCTTGTTTTTAAATGTTCCAAAATCAAATGGATCAATCCCATTGGCTTTAGCAGAGCGAACCCTTTGCGATGTTCACTTCCGGGTCCTATAATCTTCCGGCCATGTTTACTCATTACACCACAAGAGATAAGTTATAGCGAGCTATTGTTTGTCCATAATGGAGCATTACTTTGCATGCCCATTTAAGTAATAAAGTCACTGCGTGTGACTCTGAAAATTCCACTCAACTACAAAAAGACAAAAGGTGACCAGACAACTCAGCAATAAATTGGCTCCGTGGCTTTCCTTTGACTTATTACCAAAGTTATAAAAAAGGTTTCTCGAGTACTCTTCAGGGACGCCATGTAAACTACACTTTACGCAATGCCCTATTTACCATAAAGAATAAATGCTGTTTGTATTTTGTGAACCTTTACATATTGGAAATCAGCAGGGCGTTAAAGGGCAAGGTTAAACAATGGATAACTAAACATAGCATTCACTCCAGTGAGAGTTGCTCAACAAATGCCAAGATCTATACATTGTGGGTTTGTTTTTAAGCTATTACAATGTATTCAAATTAATTTGTTTTGTATTCTGTGAATACTGTATAGATCTTTTTTATGTTGATATTTATATATTGACTGTCAAAGTTGTTTATTTTTAAATGTTTTAACTCATATGCAACATCTTGGCAATATGTTCCAGTACGAAAACAATAAACCAATTTGGAATCACTTAAAGGTGGGGTATGTAATTTTGGAGAAACCAGCTGGAGTGCGCTAGAATTTGAAAATAAACAACCGGAAAAAATCTGCCACTTCCTTACAGAGCCCCTCCTCCAACACACACAAACGCGCACATGACCAATGAGGGCACGAGATAAGTTTGTGCACAGATGGAAGGCTGACAGGCAGGTAGGCCATCTAGTTATTTCAGCCGGGCCGGCTAAAATGATTGGTCGTGCTTTTTACAGTACTACGGATTCCACAGATGACATTTTTTTATGTATTTATTGTCAAAGCATTTAATATATTCATTGCCATCGGGATGTTAAGAGCATTTTATGGAATATAACAAAAAGTGTTTCTGAAATAAATGACATACCCCACCTTTAAGTTTGTCTTATCTAATCCATGTGCTGATGAAGTTTGGTCGATGTTTTGATTATGCAAGCATACAGAACAAAAAGAGAACCTTATTGTTTACAAAAATATTTCA